GTCTACTAGGCTAAAAATTTGAAGTAAAGCACGACTTCGTACGATGCAATTGAAGTTCCTTGACGAAAGCGTTGGGAAAGAAAGGGTTCACCTTGCTTGATCCTACTAAACCATAGTTCAACCATGGACTGAATGTGCAGCACTAAGTTGATTGAAGATAATGAATTTAAATGATCTAATCAGTCTACAGATGTCCTTACCTTAGATGCGGTTAAATTGATAAATAATTAGCTTCTCACCGTCATCGTTCAACTTAATTCTGACTACATCTCGCCTAGTGGCGAACAAGAAAGTTTGAAGTTCATTCCACCTGACGACTTTCGGACGATAAATCTATTATATACTTATTAATTGTCTGGCGTACGTCAGTAATTATATGAGCAAACCGTTAATTATTTTTATTTTCTAAGTAACTTTATCTCGTCGTACCGAGAGTTTATTTGCATGACACGAGTGCGCTTGACCAGAACACGTTGCACAACATGGAAGTAGTTAGAAATAGTTTACCAACATAGCGTTGATGAAGAGACACCTATGCTAGCAGTCGTACGCGGAACTCCATGAGAGAAGCAGGGCCTATACTTTCAAAAAAAGTTAAGAGATCGTAAGATCATCAGCCAATCATTGACGGCCTTTCGAGCAAAATCCACCAACCATAGACAAGAAAATAGAGCGTAAGTACTTACGTTCATTTAGCGAGTTTTGTAAGTATGGTCCCAGATTCGTAACTGGTGCGTATTATTTAATACCTATCGTTGATACGCATATTCTTTTTTGAACTGTGTGGTAAACTCGTAATGCTATCATCAATTAAAAAATGCTATAGAGTTGACCACGTGTGTAAAATGTTTGATTGTATTTCTTATATAATAACTTTTATTTTATTTCTATTTTTAAGTGTTGTAAAAAATGTTGTAATGTCAGGGACTTCATGGTGAGTTAGGTTTATAATTAATTCATTCGGGCCTGAAACATATGAAATAGTTGTCGCTTCTGATACTTGAAGTTCCTACTTGGTACCTTTGAACCTGAAAATTAATGATAGTTTTCCAAGCTCACGTACATAAGTTCTTAGCTGTTTTATATTTTTATGAATAAATTCTCCTTCCGATATAATGTGGCGACAAAAAATCAATGTCCACTAACGATAAATACATGTGGTATACTAGTAACTCACGTAAATAAGTTCTTAGCTGTTATATATTCTTATGAATAAATTCACCTTCAGATATAATGCGCGACAAAAACGTCAATGTCCACTAACGATAACCACATGTGGTATACAAGTAAGTAACATTACTACACAAATAACTCCCCTACAAATTCCAGTGCATTGAATGATTTGGGAGCATTGGTGGTTGCTGCTCTGCGCTCTGCCACTGAGCAAGAGCGACAATGAAGCAAGTTTTTTCTCACGACACTGCAGCGTCGCTGGCGCTGACGTGGTCTGCTCCTGCCATGGTAACCCAGTGAGTTGCTAGGACCACTTCAGCTGAATGGCAAATACGTTTGTTTTATATATAAAGCGGTTACAGCGTTTTTTAGGCCGTAGGCCTGTCGCTGATTTTTAACACCGCAGAACATTCACAGCGTTTTGCGGTCTCGAACTCACAACTCACTGATTCAAATTCTGCTGTGCTTAACCGCCCTGCCTCCTTGCTGATTCTGACCAGAAACTGGCGCACAGAGCTGGGATCGAACCCGCGCCTCTCTGCGCCCATCTTGGTTCTCTGAACTGTAACCACTGAGCTAGTATTACTTGACAGGGGCATTCGGATTAAGAATTCGTTTTTATGTGCATTAATTGACACGGAAAAGCGCAACTAGGATTTCGGCTTTCGCGTTTCATTCGCTGTCGTCGCGCTCCTGATATCAATATCCATTTTTATGAGAAAGTTCTGTCGTGGCGATATGCTTTGTAAAATATAAGTCAACTTGACCCGAATGCTTATAGATACACCACACAGAGGGAATTAATTACCACATAATACATTTAATTATTGAAAAAGTACAGTGAGCATGCTTCCCAAAAGCAAACCTTTCAAATGAAATCCCTAGACTTATACATTTAAGAACGATGAGAATTAACTGAGCAATTGTCAGGGCCTACAACTTAAAAAATTACAATTCTTATATTCCAGGAGCTCACGATCCATGGACTACAATCCTGGCTGCCGGAGGGCTGCTCGACCTTAACAGTCACGGATTGTCGTCAGTCGCGAGTTCGTTTTGCAGGCTCAGGCGAAGAAACAATTATTCACCACTTACAGCAAATGACGTTTAGTGATATACACGAGCTTATCATTGATAAAAGCAGTGTAGATTTTGACGTGCGCCACTCGGGAGTGTTTATCATGACCGTGCTTCGCGTGACGCAGCTCACGCTCTCTAGAGGATCCATCCGTCTCTCTGGCGCCGCCAGCGCTGTCGTCTTCAGCGATGTGTGGTCGACAGCTCTGCCCTCTTTCTCCATAGAGTCAACAAGCCTGAAACTCCTCAGACTAAACGGTGTGAGGTTCACGGGGTTGGTTGCTGCCTCCGCTGTCATTTTGCAGTCACCGGGAGCGGTTGTGGAGGTAATAGAAGTGGACGGTCATGTTGGCTTCCAAGCCGGGTGGGTTCATGGAAGAATATCTAGCCTCGTTATCAGACGCAGCAAACTAGCGCTCTATCCTGGAGCTTTCAACAGGCTCAACTTTGTCGATATCTTCGTCCAGTCAATCAGCCTGCATGATAACGTCTTTTGGTTCCACGAAAACATCATTTTGGGGCCCAACTTATCAAAAGAACACGAAGAAAGCAACATGTGGGTGAATGCGAGTGGGAACACAATATCGTGTTCGACTGTTACTCATGGAAATAAGACTACAGTCTCCAAGCTGACGTGTATTTTTTACGCATCCAGCAGCTGTTTAGAACCCGACGAAGTTCTTCTCGTGCCCAGCGTTTGCCGAGTTAACGAAACGGTCGTCACTGAAGAACCGCCGGCCAACGCCACGCGGTCACGTCACGAGTTTGTCTACAGCATCTCGCTCTAAAATAATGATAAGTAAGTTATTTTAACAATGATTATTGCTGCATATAAAATGACAATGCTGCTGCATTAATAACAACAATATGCACCTGCATTACACAGTATCAATTATAAATAGTATTGGAATTGTATTTCGCTGGTTACTGCGTTATATAGTCGGTATGATAATGAACTATTTTTATCCCAAAGTTTGATAATTAAAATACTGTGCAAATATTGATTCCGTCCTGTGATTCTCAAAAATGATAACACAAAAAGCGTAGGAAAGAATCGATGTTCCAATTAATTATTTTTACTCGTACCATCATTCTTCTTGGATGATCCATCAATATCTGGAGGTTCCTAAACTGGCTGCTGCATGCCGACATTGGTAATAAGTATATCTTTATTGATCCATTGCGTTACTTTAATAGTTTGATCCCTAAGTGGAGTACTTAGGTTAGGATAAACGTTGAGGATACAACGCGAACTCATTGAACATTATTAATTAAATCAGAAAAAAAGCCTTCTAATTAATTTAAAATTTTATTTTAAGTGGCTGTTCATGGTAGTTTTGAACGAGCTTCTACCTCATGATCCGGAAGAATAAAGTTAAAAAAGGCAGTAGACAGCACCGCAGTTATGCAAAATAAACGTGTGCAAATGTTCGGGTTTCCAGAGCACAGAAAATAGACAACTGCAATGCACCGTTATTGTATGAATATACTTGTGTAGGTTAGCAGGTTCAGAACACGCTAACGCAGTATTGATCAGACCAGGATTATAATTATATAATCTAGTTACTTCATATGAAATTCGCTTTAACCCTCTCCCGCCTGACATGAGTAACCGGAGCAATATTGTCACAAGCCTACTTCCCAAAAAAGGATACGTTCTAGTGAGCGCAAAATGACTTGCACTGATGGTTGCCGACACGTACGACAACTTTAAAATGTTCTCTGTTGCGTACAAACGTCCTCAGATTGCTACACTCAATAGTTTACGTATAATTTAAATTGAAAGTTATGTTCCCGGAGAGTGAAATACGGCGGTAGATGGTTAAATATTTATGGTGGTTCAGTGCGGTGGTTACTGAAATATATGAAATAAAATATGGGCATTGACGAAGGAGATATATTGTTTTCATAATAAGAGCTCGGCACAATATATATACACACGTTAGTACAAGTATAAGATTGTAAGTATCTATAAAGGTATAATACGTCTAAAATACTTGCTGACTGGAAACAATGCAAGAATTAGTGAACAAAAATCGAGAATAATAGTTCACTACAGTCACTTTTATTGCCGTAAACTACACGGAAAATAAGAAGGGTTTCTTTTATGTATCGATGATATAGACAGTCTAGTCTCCCAATACGTTTCCTGGCTTGCTGGTAGGTAAATAAACAACAAACTCTAACTTCTTCTTCAGTTTCGTCGCAAGAACATTGTGATGTGAACATACGCTGCTGGAGAAAAGATAGAGGAACAGCAACAAACAATCGACAACGAAAGTTACTGTGATAAATTAGCATGATGAAACAAACGTGACAAACAAAAAATGCTCACAGGCAAAAGTATATTTGAAAAAATCACGAGATCCTGGCTAGACTTCATTACACATATTAGTTCTTTGTACGCTTCCACGAGAGCGTATAATCAACAAGTGATGTATACATCAAAGTAATCTGACCTACTATTTCGTAAATAAAAATAAACACACAGTAGATACAATGCACAAGTTAGCTAAGTTAGGAGATGATGAAGCAATAAATACGGTTTCATACAACAAAGGCATACTCAAAAGCGATTCCGATTATTATTCATTCTCAAAGCGATTACACGGTTTATTATAAAGCTGCAACTTACAGCATTCTGCAGTGGAATATCATGGAACCATCCTGTAGTTAACTAGATAAATTAGAAGATATAATATTTAATTTACAATGCGGAGGCAAAAAAAAACGAAAATTCAGGTTCCGCTTTGTGGGCAAGCAAGCAAATATAGCAGATTACATGAAACTACTAGCAGAGCTTCATTATTGTGTACGTTTCCTTAACTCATATAGAAAAACACTTATTGAAAACAAGCAACATGATGCATAAGAATAAACTTTTCGATAGGTTATAGGATAAATTATGACCGTATCAAGTGATTTCATTCACGGAACGGGTGACTAGAAAGAAATATGCTATATATACGAAGTATTCACGCAGTTGCAACACTAAGTTTTAACAGAGTTTTAAAAGGATCATTATTTTACGAAGAATTATTGTCTGAAACTCAGCAAAAATGTGGATTGGAATAACAAAATTACGCCAATGGTCGTCCATCTGATCCGCGGTCTGAAGACGGCGGTACACGGCAAGACATTTGTGGTGAGTGTGGGTACACGGTGAGTGAAGCTCGAGCCTAAACATGAGACCTGGCTAAATCCAAGGTAAAGCCCCACGGGACAATCTGTATGAGGAGCAAGCTCGAGTTGGGCGTAACAAAACCGAGTTAGACTGATAAGTAAGTACGTACTTGGGCGCAAGTGAACCGAGTTAGAGTCACGGCAAGTAGTAGTAGTAGTAGTAGTAGCAGATTTACTAGCGCTTCAGATAGCTATCTATTTCGCGCCGGAGGTGAGATCTTCAGTTACGTCAAAGATGTCTGGTCTCCTTCGTCTTCAAGGCTTACAGCCTGGTCCATTTTAGGCGCATGAGTCACGGCAATATGCGTGTTATGCAGGGCTTCAGTCAATGGAATGTCCGTGTTGTGTTTTCCTCATTTATGCTAACCAGCACAACTATCGAACTCGCATCATAATGAACTTTAATACAATATTCTTACTCGCAAGCATTTCAAATTTGTATATCATTTCGTATTATTATAATTGATCACTTTAGAGGAGAGAGCTTAAAAGATGGACAAGTAAAAAGACGCTTCTAAAAATTGCGATAAAAAAATGGAAAGAGCTTTTTCCAGCATCACCGCAAGCCTTTGTCATCATCAACCCTAAAGTGAAAAAAGAATATTATTAGTTGAAATTCTACAAGAAAATTACAAGTTAAAACTCGACCAGCCAGCACTAATTACCACTAAAATGCATAATGAAAATGAGTGGTAAATGAATTACCACTAAATGAAATTTGCTCATACGCAAAAAACGATGACGATAATTAAACAAAGCGGTTTCCGTGTTAGTACGTGATAATGAACTCTTAGACTGAAGCAATAATAAATGGAACAGTACTTGGAATTCGAACAAATTCAACGCTGATTGTAAACTCTGATCTGTTATTTGATGAAATTAATCTAATTTAGCCGTCTGAAGAAAGGACTGCGGCACCGAGGTGTGCCAGCAGGCACATGTTTCATGCAAGCAGCAGGCAACCCGCAGGAAGCTGCGGTGCTAAAACCCTTGTAAATTAACGGTAACTATCGTGACCAGGCTATGTAATATGAATAGATTTGACGATAGGTAATTTATCCGCGGATAAAAGGTTACCTGAATGCCAGACTGCGACGAATGATCCCATTAACAGAGAAGTCTTGAAAACACGTCTTCAGCTCGAGCTTTGTATGCAATAAAACTTTAACCAAATAAAAATAAATGAGCTTGTAATCACAAGCATGAACCTTTCAATTTTTCTAACATTTTTTAGGCAAAATTTTTTGTTAAATAAGTAACGTAATTTGGAGCTGTAAAACTAAAAATAAATGAGCTAGCACAAACCTTTAAATTTTCTAACATTTTTTAGACAAAATTTGTTGCTAAATAAGCAGCATAACTTGAAAGGTCGCGTTAAAACAAAGGGCTAAGAGATCTAGGAATGTCGAAGGCACCAACACACGGAAAGACCGACAGCAACAGGAATGTAAAGATCATCACTCACACGCGACAGAGAAGAATCTCCTAATAAGCCTCTAAGTTTTCCTAGCATCGAAAATTCACAACACGCTACGATTTTTAAACGTACATAAAGAAATATCTGACGATCGCTTCACTTCACTGCACACGTACCAAAAACAATCTTAGTCACCGGTACAGGTAAACAATTTTTGCGAAGAATTATTGTCTGAAACTCAGCAGCAGACTTTAACCATCGCAAATTACTGTGTACCTTTGACAATTTCCTTTAGCATTGATGTATTGATATATTACGGTCATCGCTTTTCTTTATAGGCTGTTAAGCATCAACGGTAAAGTAACAACCGTAGATACAGCACAGTTAAACATGATACCGGGCCTCCAACCGCTGCTCCAAAGTAAATACTTGTTCTATCCTCCAAAAAAACATGGCAATTGCACAAGAAGGATGAATGTTCAACGATACGAATGAGGCAAGTTGCATTACTAACATTACAATACTGGTGTCAATTTCATGTCGCAGAAACGTCAGTTCAACGAACACTAATACATGAAAGGACCAGTTTCTTGGATTGATTTATCCGTGATACTGTCATTTTGATGAAGTGATCTATATCTCTATCGAAAATTCTCCAACGTGAAGAAATTTACGAGCTTACAAGCTGAAGTAAATAAAATTTATTATTTTATGACCGACTTTTTTTATTATTGGTCAGAGTAAGCGAATAGAAATCAGATGGTTTAAAATGAAGATAACTTGAATTACGTAGTCAATAAAAAAAAGATGATGCACAGAAAGAGAGATGAATTCTCTCCAGCAAAAAACAGTATACAAAACAATAAAGATATGAGCAGGTTATTGTAAGGACGAATAATAAATTAATACTTACTAAAGCCTGCAGGATTTTAGTTACCTCTCATTTAGACTAGTGCTCTCATTAAGACTCGCGCTCTCATTAAGACTTGCGCTCTCATAAAAACTCGTGCTCTCATCAAGACTCGTGCTCTCAAGACTCGTGCTCTCAAGACTCGCGCTCTCATTAAGACTGGCGCTCCTCTCATTAAGACTCGCGCTATCATTAAAACTCGCGCTCTCATTAAGACTCGCGCTCTTTTAAAATTATTTTCATCATTACCATATTCGATACACGAGCCTAGCACATCATGATATGTTATGAA